CTGTAGACCACCTGATGAATCCACACCTCCAACCTTTCTGTTGTTGTTGTTATGTACCGTCAAGTCGGAACTGGCCTGTAGCTGACCCTCCAGTGGGTTTTCAGAGGCAGTTCATTGCACTGGAGAAAATTGCCCATTCTATCACAGAGGAGCTGCTGGATTCGAACTGTGTGTCATAGGGATTGTATCACAGCTTCTTGCTTTTAGGCCATCAGTGCTGCCAACCTCTGTATTAGTAGCCCAATATATTACACACGAATAGTGAGATGTCTTACTTCTTCCCTCCCCCAAAGGGTGAAAAACTATCCAGTTTAAATCCTGTTCATTATAGCTTGGATACATGATAGGTTGAGAACTGCCTGCATTCTGACTCTTCATATACTTTTTCTTTCTTCAGGCAGATAACGAAAGTAAAAAACCTGAAATTATTTAACTGAGCAAAATTATTTATTCCCTTTATGTTGAACCTCCTTCTGTAACTAAAACTATTCATTTTTTTTTGTTTTGTTTTGTTTTTGTCAGGCATTTAAGTGCTGTTTCACTCATGAAGCCATGAGGCTTCTTACAGGCCCCACCTGTTGGCAGTTCTCTGAGTTTTGAACAAGTGATAATTAGCCCTTTTAATACTTTGTTACTTTAATTCTGGATCTACAAGGAATTCCTAGTCAGCATTCTATGAAAAAAGTCAGTGTTTTAAAGTTCAGTGGGAAAATAAACTGTTTTTTCAAAAAGCTTATTAAATGATGCAGATATTGCCAAGCATCTCTCTTTTTACAGTTTTCATATCTTTGATGTTAGCTTTGTATCCTAGAGTAATTTAACTTCTAAGAAACTTCATTCCAGTGTGCCATTCTGGAGCAGTGCTATATGTGCTTCTAAAATGCAAATGAATTTAAATTTATATTCATTGAACTTAAAAATTCAGTTCCATAGTTACACTAGTCACATTTCAAGTATTTAATTAGCCACATGGGGCTAGTGATTATGATAGTAGCACAAGATATTTCCGTTATTAATCTGACAATGATTATGAGTAAGTTGTACAACCTTTTTTTTTTTTTTTGAATTTATAAAAAAATTCTTGGCATTTAATTCTCTTTCCAATGAGAAACTAATTAGACAGTTCTGGACAATAAAAGTATTTACATGCTGAATACAAATTAAAGTTAAGAAAAAACACCTTCGTTACATCCATTTTCTAG